AATTCATGTTTTGGCTTTTTTTTTCGCACAAAAAGGGGCCTTTATTTGTATTTGGTAATAATTGTCCAATCGTTGACTAATTATGCTCAAAACGTTCGTCTCGCAAAGTACAACCAAACTGTACAATTAGTTTTTGATTTTGTCAACATTTAATACTCCATGCATGTATCGCAAGTTTGATGTGACGGAGAATCTTCTTTTTGCATAGTGCCAAAGTTTGGATTTTGGGGTAACTAAATAAGGCCAAGATCGGTTAAGGTCCTGCAGGGATTGCATATGCTCGCTGGAGCCCTGACAGTCGCCATATACTCGCTACATCCGAGTTTCAGCTCCGTCTCACTGTGTGGTCTCTCGTAAATACAGCATGTGTGCATGTCCAGTGGCCGAAGCATGGTTCTAGAGGTGTTTCTTTTACCAAGGATGGGAAGTTTGCTGCAATCTGCACCAGGCGTGATTGCAAGGATTACATAAATTTGCTCTCATGTCACTCCTGGGAGATAATGACTGTCTTTGCCGTTGACACGGTAGACTTAGCTGGTGTTGAATGGTCACCAGATGATAGTGCTATTGTTGTCTGGGATTCACTTCTTGAATACAAGGTGCATGCACTTTCTCTTCACAAATCCATGTTTCTTTTTGTGTGATTTGACATTCACTTGCACTTCTGTGAGCAACTTCAGTCTTTAGTTATCCTCTTTATGTGTTCATTAAAATTATCTTTACTTTCAGTATCATCATCTTACATAGCAATTTTGTAGCTGGCAAACATTTGTTCTGCTAATTCAATTTTAATAGCCCTGAATTGAGTTGTCGTTGCTCTGAGTTAACTTGTTTGTCTTGTACCATGATCTCTCCTTTTTCCTAAAGGAAGCATATATTTTCTATTTTTCTTTTAGGTTATCAACCTTGTGCATCAGTTATTGTTGCCGTATGTAGGTTTTAATGATTGAACCTTCCGTATTATGCTTCATAAGTTCATAGGTTAACCACTAACATTTAACTCTAAAGAGTTCATTTCAGCTTGTTGTGAAAAAACATTTTGTTCTTTTTCCTACTTTAAAGTTTAAACTAAGCATAATATAATTATGCAGAGATACTAACTGAAATGATCCTTCAAGGACCAAGCCTATTACACATCTTTTTTTTGTCATTTACAGGTTCTGATATATTCGCCAGACGGAAGGTGCTTGTTCAAGTATCTAGCTTATGAAAGTGGGTTAGGTGTGAAAACTGTTGCTTGGTCACTATGTGGACTGTTTTTAGCAGTGGGCAGCTATGATCAAGCAGTGCGGACTTTGAATCACCTGACGTGGGCCTGTTTGGTACAGCTTATAAGCTGCTTATGCCCAAAATAAGCTGAAATCAATAGCCAAACGCTACACTTTTCAGCAGCTTATTCTAACCATGCTTATTTCCATAGCTCCCATTTATACTAAAAAGCAGAAACTGGATCAGACCAGCTTATTTTGGCTACCGCTTTTACTCTATTAGTGTAGCTTATCTAAGAAGCATTTCCCAGATAAGCTGTACCAAACAAGGGCCGTGGAAAACTTTTGTGGAGTTCTCACATGCAGCGTATATCCGAAGTCCTTGCAATGCTCACTATAGGAAATCGGGGCTTTGCCCAGTGCTCAAATCTTTGCCGAGTGCCAAATATCGGGCACTCGGCAAAAGCCACCTTTGCCGAGTGCCGCACTCGGCGAAACTTGGCACTCGGTAAATAGGGCTTTGTCGAGTGTCTGGCACTCGGCAAAATAAGGCACTCGGCAAAGCTAAACTTTGCCCAGTGCCAGACACTCGGCAAAGTTGGGCACTCGACAAAGAGACGCCCGGGGATTACGGTACCCAACGCCGTCCTCTTTGCCGAGTGCCTTCTGTTTGGCACTCGGCAAAATATTGGCTTTACCGAGTGCCTAGGGTTAGCACTCGGCAAAATAATTTTTTTTTTTGTTTTTTGCCATCAACTTTTTTTCTTAGATTTGTATTTGTACCATGAACAACATATTCAAATTTGGCACAATTTCATTGTTGTTTGCTATATTTCTTCACTTTATTTTGTTTTCTTGCAATTTTCCGGAAAATGTAGGTTTGAACTGCAGGTGCATCGAATAATAGTTTTGATCCATTCCAAAAATGTTATTCTTGTTTGTTAGTGTCACTTTATGCTAAATCTAGGAACTGTCTCCAAATTTCGATCAACGTGCTCACGGGGCAATGTCGTGAACTTGCGTGCGAGTGGTTATTTAATTCTATAAAATTCAAATGAATCCTGAAAATTCAGCACACACACCCCGGCTGGACAGGTCCACCACCGCACGGAGGTGCCCCTTCAGGCTCCCATTGGGATCAGTGGCAGTAGGTGGTGCCCCTTCATGTTTCATTGACTTTTCTTGATTTAGGACTTGTGTTGGATGAAGACTTCTTAGATGTTGTCATGGATTTGCACATTGGATGTACGTGTGATGGATTATGCAGGAGGATGTGCTTGTGATGGATGTTGGATGTGCTTGTGATGTATTATGGATGTATGTGATGAATTATGTATGCGTTTTGTGTGATGCTAAATGCATGTGTGCTATCTCATATATTATATATGAGTTTTGCGTGTTTGCTTTCGAAGGAAAGCAACAAACAAAAAAATAGCAAATTTCCCAGCTTTATCGAGTGCCAACACTGGGCAAAGAAGTCTTTGCCGAGTGCTAGGGGTGTGGCACTCGGCAAAGCTGGGAAAAAATGCTGCAAAAACAACCACTTCCCCAGTTTTGCCGAGTGCCACAGCCTGGCACTTGGCAAAGATGTCAATTTTGCCGAGTGCTAGGTGGTACCACTCGGCAAAGACTATTTTTAAAAAGATTTTTTTAAAAAAATGGTTTCTTTGCCGAGTGCTGAGCCCTGGCTCTCGGCAAAAATTTAAATTTTACCGAGTGCCAGTCCCTAGGCACTCGGCAAAGCCGACGTCAAATGTTGACGGCAGTTATTTTTTTGCCGAGTGCGAGCTTGGCACTCGGCAAAGACTTTACCGAGTGTCGATTTTTGACACTCGGCAAAGAAATTTTTGCCGATAAAATCTTTGCCGAGAGACCTTTGCCGAATGCGGCACTCGACAAAGCATTTGCCGAGTGCTTGGCTGGCTTTGCCGAGTGCCCCCAGCACTCGACAAAGAGGGCGTCTGCAGTGGTGGCTGCTATATATAAGGTAACTCAGTCCGTTATTTTGTTGACTTGCTATATTAGCACCGCTGCATGGTATAAATTTACTTCTCTGACAAATAATCATGATATCTAATTTTAACTGCCAAATATGGGCAGGAAGTGGATGACCCATGGCAGCTTGATATGTCAGAGTTATGTCTAAGTGAAGGCTTCTCTCGTAACATGCAAGACAATGGTGCAGGCCAGTATAAGCGCGATCATTTCATGCGACTTCTCATACTATTGCTTTTCTATATTTTCCACCTGCAGACCTTTGGATTACTCTTTAAAAACAACATTTATTGCATGATGAATTCCCTTCTCGACTGAAGCTGGATGTAGTAGGCCCATAGGAGACTAGGATCTTATCGTATCTAACAAAATGAAAACTAAAACACTCGATAGGGTATTCTCTAACAATTTTATGCTCCTGCAGTCTGTAGTAGACTTGTAATCTTATCTCTCCTACATGTTTTTTTTCGAGAACGTGCATTGCACGTAGAAGGGGGACGTTCAACGAGCTTCCTAATAAAGAAAAGCGGCCACAAAGCAGGCAGAATTACAACAAAAGAAGGAAAGCTACACGGCTAGCCACCTAAGAGAAGAGGGGGTGACGGTTAAGTGCCAGAGGGACAGGAAAGAAACTGAGAGGCCGTGTCCACCAGAGCGACCGGCCGCAAGGTCTCCCCCTGAACACCTTTGTTTATTTGTCGTCAAGACAAGGTTTAAAATTGCGGGTTATAGCAAATAATGGCATCTTTTTTTTTAGGGCTATAAAGCTAGAGAGGAGCTACGACAGATAGCGGTATTTTAAGAAAACCATGATAATCATAAAATTTGATGAACACAAATACGTTTCCAAAGTTCTAGAGTCTAGGGAGCATTATTTAATATGATATTACTTATTACAACATGATTCATGAAATTCAAGTGTTCAGTTTTCCAAAAAAAAACAACTTAGCAACAAAAGATAGGTAGATAGTAACAAGATTGTCACTGTTATAACTGAAATTGAAATGGCGTCGCTATTTCAAAGCTACAGCTAAGTAATGTATGACAACTATAAGTCTTGTCCTTATCTACCTATGATACTTATCTAGAGTAGTTGGTGGCTGTGTCAGCCCTTATCTTTATCCTTAGCATCTAATTTAGCATCTCTAGAATATGCGGTAGCTTTCTTAAGTTGCAAACAAGTTACCCTATATGTATCCCCAACTTGCCATAGTTGTGGTAAGGCTAATGAAACTGAAATTCTAGCCCCAAATCTGTGATTTGGTTCTAACAATGTAGCGGCGGCGCTAAAGCGCAATATAGTGGCCGTAGCTAACGTAGCGGCAAAAATAGCAATAGCTTAGCATGGGCTCTCTCTAGCAGCTATAACACCGCTATAAAGGGCAAACCTAGTGCCGGAGGCTCCCACATGAGTTGGGTTTGGGGAAGGGAAAAACTGAAGCAAGCCTTCTCCCCGTAAAATCTGCGGAGAGGCTGTTTCGAACCCACGACCTGGTGACTCAGAGAGACAGCTCTCACCACTACACCCCCTATAATGCCGCTATAGCCCGCTATTTAAATCCATGCGTCCAGATCATCCTAGAGTTGAGCAGCACAATGGAGTTGAAACTCCTTCGGGGACCGTTGGTAATCTGCTTGCGGTTGAAGAGACATCGACCCATGAAGGCACACCAAGCGGTGTACATCCATGGACTCTGAAGGTGTGTAGGGTCCGAAACCAGACCTCCCTACTGAACACGTGCGTTCAGCAGCACGTGAGTGAATTTCTGGCCCCTGGTCACGAAGTGCTCAATCGCCATGGTTGGGGAGACCGTGGCACTTGAGGTGGTCAGAAGTGTAGCTGCAGCCATAAGGTCAAGCCAGCCAAAGAACTTGCACTTGTTAGGGCACCGGTTATCCAAAGTTGCTTTGCCCCAAACAATGATATGTGACCAAGCAGCAAACCATGGTAAGCTAAGCTCGCCTAATATTGGCCATCGCTGGACCATTTCCAGGTGATTAAATGAACGTGTCAGGCTGATCCGAGAGAACAACTCTTTCAAGCCTCTCTGAGCTGGATGTACTCTAACAGAACTTGGACTGTGAGGCCACCCCCAAGTCAACCCATCTCTCCTATGTGTTATCATCTGATTTTTTGTCATGCAGTGCTGTACTTCTGAAGATGTGTCATATAAAACCTTTCTTTTGGTGTTACCATATTCTAGATTACCAAATGATTCTTTTCACGTTGTTATGGCTTTTAAAGTATGATTACAAAATAAATGGATTTTTGTTCTGTATCATTTGATAGAATGATAGATAGAGAAGCCCATACTGACTCTTGTAGTTTACAAACCATATTTGTGTTATTATCTGCTGTCTCCATGGTATTTTGCCCTTTTATCACACTAGTTCAATTGCCTATTGAACAAAATTGCCATTGTGATGCCGTTATATTATGTTATGAGCTAGTCCTTACATGTTTAATTCTGTATTTAATTTTCCCTATTTTTTGTTGTCAGAAAATGGCACCGAGGGAGGAGGCTCTAGAGTTAAATATGCTCTGATGGATGTTCCCATCACCTTACCTTCGATGAAACCAGCTACTGACAAGACCAACCCCAAACAAGGAATTGGTGAGTTCCTTATGCCTTTTGCCACTCCAACTGATGCTTGTTGCAAGGTTCTATTCATGCGTATGGTTATCAGTTGTTTCCTTGATGATTCATGCATAGGTATCTAGTACTCTAGTATCATGTGCTTGTGACCTATTTTGTTTCTTACTCAATGCTCGTCTTGTTTCTTACTCTTCACAGTGATTGCGCTTAATGTGCAATTGTTCTTGAATTCATTGCTGAATTCTTGTACGGCTATACAGGCATTTGTATCAAAATAACGAACAGCATTTTAAACATCATTTGCATTAGTTGTCTTGCTAATTCTTGAATTTCTATCAGAAAGTTATTTAGATTGTGTCTGGTGTATCATGCGTAATCTTGATTCTACTTGGAAACACCACTCGCTCACTTTACAAAATGTTGCAGGTATGCTGTCATGGAGCAGCGACAGCCACTATTTCTTCACCCGGAACGACAACATGCCGACTGCTCTTTGGATATGGGATATATGCCGCCTTGAGCTTGCCGCTGTGCTTGTGCAGAAAGATCCAATCTGTGCTGCAGCATGGGACCCTACCTGCACACGCCTTGTTTTACGCACGGAGAGCCCTCACTTGTACATGTGGACGCCATCTGGTGCCTGTTGTGTCAACATCCCCTTGCTGAACTTCCGAATCCTTGATTTGAAGTGGAACTCGAATGGGAGCTGTCTCTTCCTGAAGGAGCGCGAATCTTTCTGCTGTGCCACAATCATATCTGCCCTGCCTGAGGAAGAACCTGATCAATCTGATGATACTTCCGAAGATGAATGAATGGTATCATGGTATGTCTAGCAGAGCTTAGGCGAACGGAACTGGGAACTAACAATACAAATGATCTTGTGATGATGAATGAGTGATACCGACTGACTACTTAGCTACTTGTAGAATCCAGAGTGAATACTGCATTACCATGAAATGATAAGGTCATTTTGCTGCTTAAATGGTAAATGATCTATCAGCTCCAAGGTTGTACTGCTTGACTTTACTTGCTGGATCTTAATCCTACATATATTCAGTCATCAGGGTATTTTCATTCAGGGAGGTGAGGATTCCTTCTTGGTGTTGAGCCAGTCCTGGGGATTCCGTAGTGAATCCAAAGAGTACTACAATTCGAAGTGTAACTTCCGTATTGATTCCTTCTTGGTTGCCTGCATCGAAGTCTGAACCTAGCTCCCTAGATTCAAAATGTAGCCTAGAGCGCTCTCAAAATACAGATTTCATTTGTGTTTCTAGTGAGCTTGGCTCGCATGGTGAGTGTCTTGATGATACTGTTATCATATAATTAATGTGTATTAGTTGATATTAGTGTGTTTTAAAGTAGATTAATTAAAATATTAAAAGTAAAATAGAGACACCTAGAGTAGTTGCACAAGTTAAATATTATAAGGTCACTTGTTTTTCTGATTTTATTTTCGGCAGCACTAGCGTCCGGACGCCCGCGGCTGCTCCGCCCCATCTACTCGAATTCGCGCGTCGCCCGCGCCAGCTCCATTTCCCACGCTCGCATCCAAATTGCACACTTCAGATCCGCTGCCCACGCTGCTCGGATGACTCGCCCCCGCCTCTTCTGCAATAGCACTGCGCTGCCTGTGCCTCCTCCCTACACCGTCGGCGATGGCCTGCGCCTCCACGCGTCGGTGGCCATGGCTTGGCCCTGCCCGCCCTCATGGACATCAATGCCGACGGTCTGCACTTGCAACATGAAATACTCGAATGCAACATACATTTGAAATTAACATATGAAACATTTGTGACATACGCTTGCAACATGTGTGTGAAACATATGGATTGTATCAAATAAAATAATTGCAACATGAAAAAACACTTACTGCAACATAAGACTGAAATAGACATTTGGAATATACTGTTGCAACATATGTGTGAAAACATATGCAACATCCACATAAAAACCGATCGCAATATACGTCTGGAAACAGATGAAACATTTTGTACAAACACTTGCAACATATATAACATGTGCAACATCCCTCAATCTACTTTTGCAACATCCATAAGAAATAACTGCAACGTACATTTGAAATGACTGAAACACCTAAAACATAAATTTGCAACATATGGGAGGGGAAGCCTGGGCCGGTCGATTCCAACCATCGGGGTCGGAGCCAGAGGCGAGCGGCGGCGCACGAGCACCACCGCCACCAGCGCCACTAGTACCGGGCTTGGCTCAGCGGCGACGGTGGGGAATGGGGGCAAGGAGCGCCATGGCTACCGGTGTGGGGGGAGCTCGGTCACTGGGGTGAGAGAGAGGGTGCCGCGCCGGGGTGGAGGAGAGCCATTCACTCCCCTACAACACCGCCGCGCCACCTCCGTGGATCTCGCCGGGGTGGGAGAGAGGGCCACCGGATCTGCGGACGTTGGGGCGGGCTCCCGATGGGGGAGGACGCCAGGCGTTGGTGCGGTGCGGCAGGGGATGAGGAGTGCGGAAGGGGTAAGGGTGGGAGCGGAGCGAGGCATGTTTTTTAGGCGAGCGGCGCATGCAGCAGTGAGTGGAGCGAGGTGTCCGGCCTTCCGGACATCTTAATAGTAGCATTGCCGCTTTCATGGCATGGCTTGTATAGGTAATCAAACAACATCTCTTCTCAGCTAATAGATACACGTGCAAACAATAAAACAAGAACTTCCACCTCTACGACCTATCTATCATGGGTCTGGTTCCTAGGTGCGAGCTAGGCTCCCCTTACCAACAAACCCAACATGCTACTACTCACTAGCGTGCACCGTTGATCGATGTATCTTTACATGGTTGTCTGATAGCTATGTGGCCTGTCTACCAGGGGTTTGGTTCCCAGGTGCGAGCTAGGCTCCCCTCACCAATGAACCAAACATATTACTACTCATTCGCGGTTTAGTTCCTAGGTGCGAGCTTGGCTCCCCTCACCAACGAATCAAACATGTTACTATTGATTGGCGTGCATTGATGATAGATGTATCCTTATATGGTCGTCTCAGAGCTATAGCATAGGTGTTAGCTTGTTAAGGTGCGGAGTTGTAGGGTTTCTTTTTCAATAGAAAAAAGTCTATAACCCCTTGTCGTATGGCAGGTCATCTACTTTACACTAAGACCCCAACATAAAAAAATAGTATTGTACACCTTAAACTATGTAATCGTTGAAAACTTGAAATAACAATAGTATTTGAGCCTCCTTATAAGGATTGACACGTCAGAGGTGGCATTTTGTCCCATTTATTTGTTACTTGTCTCCCCCTCCATTTCCTTGTTTCCTCCTATTTTTTTATTCATCAGACGTAGAGTTGCGGCGCCCATAGCACCACCGCCCCAAGTGTCGCCATGCCCCTAGCCCCCGTGTGGCTTATTATAAGAGATATCATAAGCATTCAAAAGGGGTGAATTGGGTGTCTAGTTCAAATTTAAATCCTATGGCTCAAAGTAACCTACTATTTGTGGCGTTGCGGCGGCCATAGCACCATCGCCCCAAGTGTCGCCATGCCCTTACACTACTACAGAAAGTTTGATCACTGTCGGGCCTTTCACCGCCGGTTTTGTGAGAACCTACGATGATAGATATCACCACCGATTCACATGCCGAGGGGTCATAGAAGGGGTGCCTTATCGGCGATGATAAATGTTTTCACCATCGGCCCGTCGTCTGATCCAGCGGTGAATACAGTGTCAGTCTTCACCGCCATATTGTACGTCGAATTGGCGGTGTAAACATTTAGCACCGCCGGTTAGTCATCCAATGCGCGACAGACATAAACCGGGGGAGATAAGACATTTTGCCGCCAGTTTGAAGATGGAAGGACGCGCCGCACATTAGAGAAAGGATTAAGTCCACTTTTGGGCCTCAACTATTGTGTTCGTCTGATTTTAACCTCCAACTACAAAACCGCCTAATATTGGTACCCTAACTGTCAAAACCATAAACTTTTAGCACATGGGCGTGGAAAGAGGCGGTTTTGTCCCACGTGGAACGGGTTTGACCATGCCACGCTGGCACTGACCGCCACGTAGGATGCTGGCCTGCATCTCAGTGACATGTGGGGCCCGTGCGTCACCCACTCATTCCCTCCCCTCCTTCCTCCAGCTCCAGCAGCATGATGGCCGCCGGACGAGCAGGCAGCCGCGCCATGGCCGACGAGCGGGACACCGTGCTACTGCCTCCACTGGTTGCCCCCGGCGGAGGCGCCCGCGGCCTACGGGCCCCTATCCTTGCGGTGATGCATGGCGGAACCCTGGCAGCATCCCACCGGAGGAACATCCCCTCTAGCAGTGGGTAGCTGAGCGCCACGCTGTAGCACATGAGGAACAGCTGCGGGAGCAGCTCGCGCGGCAAATTGGAAGCCGCCCCACGACGTCATCTTCCAGGTGCCGGGCATGATGGCCATGGAGTGGAGCACGGAGAGCGTGGTGGCCGAGAGCAGCAAGGTGGAGCAGCCCGTGAAGTCGAAGACGCTGTCCTGGTATAGCCTCTTGTCGACGGCCTTGCTGGTGAGGTCGAAGTCAAAGCGCAAGGCGAGAAACAACTCTGGTGGCGCCGACGTAGTCAAGAGTTGACCGGTGAGGCGTTGAGCACCTAGAACCTTTGCTCGTTCCACCACGTCGTGGTCCAGCCTCCCTCCGCTGCCCGCGCGCACACCTCCGCCAGGTGCCGCAGCAGAAGGACGCGAAACGCGCTGCGGCGGCGGCGGCGGGTAGGGTAAGAGCGGGGACGCCGTGGAGGAGGCAGAGCTGCGGTAGGGTGGTGTAGCAGAGCACCGAACGCGTAGAGCGCGGCGGCCAAAGTAGGCGTAGCCCATGGCTCGGAGCAGGAGGCGCGGAGGAGTGGGCGGCAAAGAGCGGGAGTGCCTCTCCAGAGACGCCGACGGCGAGCATCTCGGACATCCAATGCTTGTTCGACCAAAGACATCGTTGAGGTTGGTGGGCACATCGCCGAGGAATGCCGGCCGTGGCTCCGGTAGTGCGATGGCGGACGTCCAACCCCGCGAGAAGAAGCGCCGGTACCCCGTGAAGTAGTCGTACACCACCGATCGGTACATGAAGTCGACGCTGGTTCCCAGTATGCTCGCCAGACGCTGCAGGAGGCCACCAGCGCCAGGGTTGAGATGATCCGGGCTCGGTTGCCATGCGCCGCCGTGAACCGCCAAGCTCGGCTGCGGTGCAGGGAGGCGGCGTCCGCGTCCGTATCCTGCTCGAACGCCACCGCCCTGCTCGCGCGCCGCCATGTTGCTTGCGCGCTGCCGTCGTAGCCTGCTCGCCGCTGGTGACGGGAGGAAAGAGAGGGGCCAGCGTGGCACGGTCAACGCCAGCTTGACATGGTTAAAACCGCCTCACGTCCGACAAAACCGCCACACTCGCGACGAGGTGCTAAAAGTGAATGGTTTTGACTGTTAGGGTACCGACACTAGATGGTTTTGTAGTTAGGGGTTAAAATCAGACGAACACGATAGTTGAGGGGCCAAAAGTGGACTTAATCCTTTATTTATCATGTTGAAGCTGTTTTGAAACTTATAGGAGTGCTTTCACGTCAATGACTAGATCCAATATGAAGTTTTCTAGGCCCACTATTTATCATGAGACAATTTTGGCTCAGACGATCTTTTCAACATTTCGACCCAAGAGGCCAAGCCCAAGCAATTTTGTTCTCCAAGCAAAATGAGAGTAGCGGCTTTTTTTTTTGGTCTTTTAATTTCTAGTTGTTTTCTGTACATTGCTGAATATTTCTCTATGCAAAAGCTTGCTAAATATATTTGTTGAGCACACAAAAAAATAATTTTTTTTGAAATCCACAAAAAAACACTTGCTAATACAAGATCTAAAAACTAAAAGATTTGTTTACACACACATGCCTTTATTGAACTAAATACTATTTATCATCTTTCTTTTTTGTTATCGTTCTTTTATTTTCTTTCCCTGCTTCCTGTGTGATGATGTAAATTTGTTCAGGTTACGAGTACTCAAACTTGAATTTATTTTGGAGTCAATATGTCAAGATATATTTTTGAATCTGTGGTGTTATCTACCTCTGTATAGTGTGCATTGGTACTATCTTCATGTATCTGCTGCACTAAGTTGAACATTCAAGTGGTTATGTATGTCGGTGTTCTCCATATGAAAAAAAATAGACCCTGCGAGGGTATGACCACTCTAGCCATTGCATTAAGGAAAAGACATTTTCATGTAGGCCTAGAAAACTCTCGAACCCGTGCCCCACTCTTACACAGCGGCACCGTCGTCCTGTGAGAACGGGCCGGTCCTTAGACCTGTGCTTTGGTGTGGAACAGACGAGATGATTTTTTTAACCCTAGCCTAAAATTCGCTCTCACGGGAAGTCGAACCTAGGACCTGAGGAGTGCCGCCGGGACGCTCTAACCAGTTGGACTAGAGGCTCTTTGGCGTGTTCTCTATATGAACTATCAATTTCTGACTGTTATCGATGTGTTCCCAACCGAGTTATTTTGTCGCCGATTTTCCGACATAATTGTTTTCATTTTTTCGACCGACGTTTTTTATTTCATTTTCGTTTCCGCATAAAAATGCGTAAATCAAAAGTGGTTAGAGGCTTTTCTCAACCGTATCGGCCGTTTTCATCCTAACAACCAAGGACGATGCCTTAGGCCTGCTAGCAGAGTTAGGGCACCAGCTGATGTCATCACTCCTATAGAGTCTCACATATGAGAGCTTTGACGATTACTTTACTATTTTGCTCGTAAACTAGTTTGTTTCTTCACGTAAGTGCGTTAGGTATCCCTTTGCAGGTTTGCATGTAAACCCATCTGTTTTTCACCACATAAAGAGCGTTGATTATCCACTGTTCCCGGTGAAATCAAAAAGCACCGGATGGTCCGACCCACACAACCCATAACCAATGGACGGTCCAGTGCACATGTTTTCTCCATCTACCACCTACACGTTCTAGCGCTACTGTGGGATTATTCGATCGATGTGCTCATTATCACCATCGTCAGACTGTCCGGTGCTCATGATTTTGCTATCTGCGACCTACGCTTTTCGTCATTGACTCATTGTTGTGGGATTGTTCCGCGCTGGCATTATCGCTAGTGCCGAACTGTTTGGTGCTCGCACTTTCGATGATTTGCATTCCACACATTCTACTGCTATGGTGGTGTGTGAACACCTTTTGCACCAACAGAATGCATATATGTCCTTTGATGTATATATTAGCCACGTTCGTTTCGCTGAAAAAACAAACAGAAATACCGTTCCGGCTGATTTGTTGTGAGAGAAAAACATTATTCCGGCTGAAAAGACAAGCCGAAAAGTACGAATTATAAGACAAGCGAACAGAGCCTTTGATGTTGAGATGATAGGTTTAATGTTCTAGTGTACTAATTGCAATAAGTATATTTTTATTGTAGAAGATTGGACAACTTGTGGTTGGAAGGTTTCAAGCATAGGTGAGGTTTTTTTTGTTGCAAAAATTATGTTCGGTGATAGGTTTGTGATAAATCAGTTTGCTAATTTAATTATTTGATTGTCCCTCTGTTATCACACTCAGTATATGAGCACATCTGATGTCTCCTTGCCTCAATGTTACTTTAGTTTTACCCCTCATTTCCAATTGAGGGTCATTTAGTTTCATGGGCTCTTGCATTTTTACTCTTGCTTTATATCGAAATTGTGATTTTGTTCCTGTTTTTTTTTACTTTGTGGATTTACCCTTTGTTTTTAAAACGAAGCACCACTTTGCCCCTATTCCGTCATCCTCTCCTAACGGTGTTACATTTTATACAAAAGGACAGAAATGCCCATGTGATTTTGGCCCTATTTGTTATGCCTATTTGTGATTTTGCCCCTGATTTGGGAATTAGACATTTATATTTGATCAAATATATTTGGCCCAACTTGCAACTATTTCAATTCAGATTTAATATCCAAAAAAATATTCAAAATTTTGGCAGTGCCTTAGCAGTATTTTAATAGCATTATGACTAGGCCTAGGCATTCGGTTCTAACCAAATTTTTGGGTCGATTTTTTTCGGTTCTAACTTGACCTCATATTTCATAGGCATATATTGACACAATTTGTATTCTCATCGAACAAAATAGAGAGGAGATCGAGTCTTGTATATGCATTATTGAGCACAGAAGTGAGGATATCGAGTATTCGAGATACAAACTACATAGATGCGAGATTCCAGGCTATGGTGACTCCGTTTGTACTAAAGCCAGGCTGCTGCTTCCAGATTTCCGGTCATGCATCTTTGCTTCTTCCTTTAGGACCTGGCGGACGCAGAAATCCATGGAGCTTGCCGAATCGCCGTCGCTCGTCCACCTTTTCTCGACACACAACCTGCAGTGTTGCTTGAGGGTCGGCATGGCGGCACCGGCGGATCCGTGGGCAAGTCGACAGCCCCCATGCTTGCTTTCTGCTGCAAGTGCTTTCGCTTCTCACACTCTCGGTGTGGCTTGTGGCGGGCGATCTTGGGAGACGTCTTGATCGAGCATACCGAGAGCTCCATGGCAGGCCGCCAAAGCCAGCAGCGCGAGCACGCCGAGACCATGGTGGGCGCCATGACCTCCCATGGCCACTGGAGGAAGCCCACGCCCGGCCCGCCAACCGCTTGTGCCAGGAGGGCAACCAGCAGCATACGCCTGAGGCAGCCCCGCCTCGTTGGTTCTTCCGCCACTGCCGCCGCTGGAAGCCCACGACCGGATGCTGCCGCGTACGAGACTTGGGATGAGGTGACCCGTGCTTCTGTTTGGGATGAGGCGATAAGGATAGAGGGAAGTGTGGTCATTTCGCCTTTGGTTTTCATATTTATATATTTTTTTAATTCATTTAATCTATGTCCATCCGACGGACGTTTAAAGTAGGGGCAAACAGACCATTCATTTCAAAATAGTAGGGGTAAAAAAACAAAGTTGAAAAAGCTGGAACAAAATCACAATTGAACTACTGGACAAGAGCAAGAACATAATTTTCCCTTAGTTTTATCATAAGTCAAAAAAATATATCAACTTCTGTAGCTTTACCAAGCTTTACCCGTCCTGTTTTTTTAGAAGCACCAATTTATCCGAGCTAGTTTCTTCAAATTCATCAGTGAAATAGTTACCAAATTGCGTGGGCAACAGCTTCCTTTTCTAGCAATTTAGCATGATTAAAATCCACCACAAACTTGGAGAATAGGCAAAGCGCGACCTTCTCTTGCAAGCAACGTGGTTGATGTGTTGATCTTTTTCTTTTTTTAGAAGGATGTGTTGATCCAAAATGGAAGGGCACGGATCGTGGGTCCCGCTTTTCAGGCTCTGTAGCGTGAGTGGTCCTGTACAATATGGGCCCCGCGTGCCAGGCTTTGTTGGGCCACTGCAATTTGCAAAAGTTTGCCCGCTCTCAGCCGTTAAGGCGTCCTCAACGCGAAACACGCCAACTACCAGACCACCGGAGTGAGCCCAGGGCAGGCCCAGCCGCGCAGCACACCAACCCTCCACTAGCATCTCTGACGTGCGGGCCCCGCCAGACAACGGTACCCAACCGCCCCTCGCTCTTGATTCTCTCTCTCCGCTCTTCTCGATTCCGATTTGTCATCCTCAATTCAGAGCTCACGAGAGACTCAAATCCCCTTTCCGCTCCGCCGGACGCCGAGAGAGGGCGGCGGGTGCGGGACGCGAAGGCGAAGACCTTGCTCCCCTCCCTGCCGCGGACGCCGATGGACCCACCTCGCGCCGTCGCCGTTCTTCTCCTCATACTCCTTCCCGTGCTCGCCCCGGTGGCCTCCGGCGTGCCCTTCGTCGTCCTGCACGGTTGGGGTTTCGCGTGCCTCGCTTCGATTCTGCTTCTTCTCTTGGTCTTAGATTAGGTTCATTCCTTATGGTTGGCTGTGCCCGGGGTGCGTGCAGGGATTGGCGACGAGTGCGGGAACGATGGCCTGGCATCCTTCACCGAGATGCTTGGGGAGTGGTCCGGCTCCAAAGGTTACTGCATGTAATGGCTTCTCTCTCTGAATTATGTTGTTTTGATTTGTTTTTTTTTAGGATACAAGAGGGGGCCTGCGGTATGGGTTTTAGGATCTTATGCGTTTGGCTCGCCGATTTTTATTTTTATTTTTTTTTTTTTTATTTTTATTTTTACCAAGAGGCCCTTGGTCCGACTTTTATATCTTGATGAAAGACAAAAAACTTTATGCTGGGGAAAACATGTTAAATACTTACATCAAAGGTACTTGGTACAGAGGCCACCGGAATCAGACATCGACTCACTCCACTACAAAGAAAATAACACCTCTAAGTTTCCACAAAACAGGTTTTGTCGTGATTTTAAGGAAATTTGGTTTTAGGTTTTTACTTAGCTAACTTCCTAAAAAAAAAGGTTCTTACTTCGCTAGATCCAGACTTATGGATTTGTAGACTAAAACGAGTGTTTGTGGAGACCCATTACATCGCACCAAATCACTTTTCTCTCATTTTAGATGGAAGAACAAAAAGAAGAAGAAGCATGTAACACAAAACAGGAGGTATGGGAGTCGGTTTCTAAAAACCAGGTAGGAGTTTAGCAAAACCATACTTTTGGTTATCCACGTTTTCTGCTATCTAGCCAAATGGAGTATTAAGTGGTTAGCCTCAAATCTGGTTTAACTAGATCTTGTTCTTGATAGAACCTGTGATCCAAACAATGAACTTGGAAACTTAAACAGACTTAGTAGAACAAAGAAAAAAAATGAAGCACACAGCTAAAAGAAGGCCAAGCTTACAAGCCAGCAAAAGAACAATGCCAAATCGCCAATCACCATGCTACTAATGCCTCCTTCATCTTGATCATCTTAAGCTCCACCTGTGCTTGATATGCCTCCTTCCAAAGAAGCCTCCAGACCTGAAGAAAGGCATTCATCTTGATCATCTTAAGCTCCACCTGTGCTTGATATGCCTCCTTCCAAAGAAGCCTCCAGACCTGAAGAAAGGCAAGCACCTTGTGAAACCTTGGGGGATTTAACCAATGAGTTATCAAAAACCCAATCAACTGTAGTTTTCCACAAGGACAAACGAACTCCAGCTAAGAGAAAATATTCCACTGACTCTCCTTCCTCCCTGCAGTTCCCATATGTTGTTCAGTGAAGTACTGGAGACCAACCGGGATATTAGCCCAATGGAAACTATCTCTGACCCAACACCAAGTTGTCACTGCCACTGGACATATGAAGAAACCATGGTCCAAACTTTCCTCCTTCCCACATAGATTCCTCTTTACCAGCTGATCAGCTGTTTTAACCCTATCATGCTAAATCATCCACAAAAATATTTGAATTTTTGGTGGCAACTTGGTTTGCCCGGCATCAGTATTTCTTTTATCAATCAATCCACCGAATGTGATCAATCCGTACAAACATCTGGTAGAAAATTTCCCAGTTTCCAGATTACTTCATCTCGCTGATCATTTAAAACCCCTCCTCCAAGATGTCCTGCATTGTAGTCTACTCCACTCACTCTGCTTGTCCAAACCTCAATTGCAGTTTCTTCTGTTTGCTTTTGCAACAGTAGAACTTTTTTTTTTTGAAATAAAAGGCAGGAGCTCTGCTGCTCAATTAAGTAAGGATAAAGAAGTTTATGTACAAAAGGCACCCCCTGGCGCCAAACACTACGGTCCTAGGACCAGAACATGACAGGCATGTCGCACCGCTAATGGTGTTTACCCATCAAAGGATACAGCCCTGCATCTTTGCATGATATCCTCTTTTGTCAATGAGGCCACCTGCTGGACCGTCTTGTGTTCATTTTCAAAGATCCTCCTATTCCTCTCCTTCCACAGGTTCCATACAATGTAAATGAGGATTCCATTGAACCGCCTTCGATCCTGCATTGGCACCTTGCTTGCTGCCTCCTCCCACCATTTGGCAAACAGTAGAACTTTTCTGGTCTTCACATATACCAAAAATTATGGGATAAGTAATTTTCAAAGAACATTCTCCCAAGTCCCACCCAAACTTCATCCTATATCTGGTGTGTCTGTTGTTTTGTTAGAGAAGAGTAAATGGTGGTCGGGAATATAGACTTGATGTTGCTGGTATTGTGCTTTGGAATAAATGGCTTTGTTTACCTGTTCATGTAGGAATTTCAGGGCATGTAGGGTGAATTTTGTTTTGTGGTAACGCTCTAGTGTCTAGAATTTATATATTGATTGTTTGTTTTGCATGAAGGGCGGGCCTGGTGCAAGCGGTAGAGTACTACCGACTGTGACCGGAAGGTCCTGGGTTCGAGCCGCAGCATCCTTGCATTTGCACATCGCAAGGGTAAGGCTTGCTGCTAATACCCTTCCCCAGACCCCGCACAGTGCGGGATGCTCTCAGCACTGGGTACGCCCTTTATTGTTTGTTTTGCATGTATACACCAATAAATATATGTTCCAAATTTAGGTATACGTGGGTTTCCATGTATAAATAAAAAAGGAACAAACTATTATATGCTAGCACGTTTGTGTGGATTATTTGTTATTTTTATGTGGATAGTTTGTTATTTCCCTTGTAAATTTATCATGACCAGGTGCTTTCATCTAAATACATTTTTTGTTTGGCTTTCTTTTTACAAGTATAAATAAACAAACTGTAGTGCTACATATATGCCAAGGAATCTCTTTAAATACATTTTGTTATGCGATGGCCTCTTGCCTGGTTTTGTTTGTTACTTTTCTCTGCAATTTCAGGATGAATGTTTGGGGGTAACATATAAAAAATGTAATTTGAACTTTGTTCTCTTTCCTAAAAAGAGAATCTCGTTAGGATTATATTCCAATATTCTGTCGAAGCTGATGGAATGTATTGAAAAGTTTACCATAACATGTTAAAACTGTTGTAAACTAGGTTGGAAGATTGCTGTAGCTATGTATTTGTAATCCTAAATTCAATAATGAAAATAGTCCTGTGTGCACTTTCACCAAAAGAAGTTTTTTTTAATGCAATTTCAGCAAAAGAAGTTGAAAACAGCTTTAGTGATAGGTCGTGTCTTCATGGCTGATTTGTAGAAGACAACAAATACCATATGTGAACTCTGTTTTCTTGAGCACATGATATAAAATGGGGTACCAAGTAAAACCCCACTATCACTGTTAGAAAATATTTTGGTGTTTTATCTCTGCAAATTTGCCTTGATATTTAGTTGTTTACATCTGATCTGTTGTTAATATTTAGTTTGCTTTGCCATTAATATCAAGTGATTACTATAGCATTGATGCCTCAACTTTCTTTATCTTTATACATAACATCTAAAAGAAGACTTATGATGGGCATTGCGTCAATCCTTTTTTTCCATTTTTTTAAAAAAACTGATAGTGTGCTTATTCTTGAATTTAATAATGGAAATTGTGTTGCTCAGTGAAATTGGAAGAGGAGCATGGGACTCTTGGTTGATGCCACTTCAAGGGCAGGTTTGTTTCTTACTTAGAGTTGTAACTGGATAAATTTTTTATGGTGTGTGTGGTGCATCTTTTTTTGTAGAGACGGGTGTGTTTGGGAGCAAGCTACGGCCTCTCCTTTGTACTTGGAGCAGGCATTTGCCTCTCCCTCTTTCTCTCTCTCTGAATGAAATGACAGCTCTCCTGCATCGTTCAAAAAAAAAATGGATAGATTTTCCCCCATTATACTCATATCTTACTTTCATCTGTAGGCAAATACGGTTTGCAAGAAGGTGATGCAACATCTTCTGCTTTTCTCAATTGTACACTGAGTCATCAAGGTTCTGTACCATTTCTGGAATTTGTTTTCCAGGTCAAGAAAATGAAAGAGCTCAGTGAAGGTTACAATATAGTTGGCCTGTCTCAGGTGTGTTTGTGGTGCTGTGCTATTTGTGATTCACGACAATAATTTCAAATGTTCTTATCTATTCTTGATGTACTTTTCTTCTGCTCCTGTCTCCTTATTTTAATTCTGTTTCTGGGAAATGCAAACTTCTTCACTGTCTTGGTTAACGCAAAGCTATGAAATTTAGATACTTAAATAAGAAGCATTACTAGCAATAAGAGGTTTTCAGGTATCATAACTGACTTGTAGTAATGCTGTCTGTGAACTTCTGGTAACTATTGTGAAAACTATATGGACAAAACCGCTTTAGTTCACATAAGTTTGGAGTGTGCTCTGAGAATTGGCTTGTTAGTTTAGCAGGAAGTTTCGCTGATTGCTGATTTGCTGTTATACTCTCGCTAGATTCTGAGGTTATTAATGCTGATTGGGGTTTGGGAGTTATATTTTCTGACCCTATCCCATCTATTCCTTTTGTAGGGGAACTTAATTGGCAGGGCTGTAATCGAGTACTGTGATGGTGGACCTCCGGTGAGCTGATTTTTGTTCTTTGCTTCCTGTTATTTATCAACCACTGAGCTAACTTGCTTATCTGTTGTTCTTGTTATTCCCACTGATGATTAATCCCTTCATGGTCTGTGTACTCTACTTGTTTTAACTTCCTTTTTGGGATAGGTCAAGAATTTCATATCAATTGGGGGTCCTCATGCTGGTACAGCTTCAGTGCCACTTTGTGGTGTAAGCTTACTCCATTCTTCCCAATTTATCCTTCTTTTTAGATCATTGTTCTAACAGTAGCAATCTGAGTTTGCAATACCATCAGATATAAATGAGAGATTTTTTTCCATGTGCAGTGAGTATGTGCTATGATAAATTTATTAACCAAAGTATGCTTATAATTTATTAACCAATGATAAACGATGAGTACATAATGCTTTCTAGGTTGCTGTTAGTAGGCACCTCATGATGCAACACTTAACTGCACTCACTCTGGTCCAGGATTAATATTTTAGCACTTCATACATAGAATAAGGAGTTCATGCATTAGTTTTTCACATAGTTTACTCATAGTGACTGCATACCTGTTTATCAAATGCTATAGTAATTGACATTTTATGGGTGCATTTCCATGGGAAAACTTCTTGATGCCTTGGCTAAATGACAACCTACATAAAACAAGTAATGGGGAGATATAACTGAATAAGATGAGGAGCATAAGAAATCAACTAGCAGAAATGTAATCGAGAAATAGCTGAATAAGATGACAACCTACATCAAGAAATAACTGTCATCTTATTCAGTTAAAACAATGATCCAGCCCTGGGAGGAGCTATAACTGAATAAGATGAATTCGCAAGCATGGAATCAAGAAATCCTACTTCTCTCATGCAACATCCAATCGATACAACCACACAAATTAATGCTTAGGCTAAATGAATGGAAGTGAGAGTCTAGGATCAATAAATGCTAAGTAGCAGAGTATGCATCTAATGAAGTTAGTGTGCATTAAAATTCTTGATCGTTGGAGTTGGCACTTGCATTGCCATATCTCTGATGCCACCAGCCTTCTATCATTAATGCAGTCCCAATTTTCTACAACCCACCCTCCTCGACTCTCATCTTAATGCTATCAAAATTTCAACTTGATCAGGAGCTTCTCCCCCATGCATAGCTAGGAGCAATTGCTACCGGTGAGATAAACCACCAAAGCTACCTGTCAGTCACTGTGATTGGTGTTCTCTCTGCTTGACCTTGTCAGGGCATGCCAATGATGTACCAACAACTTCAAAAGCAGTCTTTGGTAGACGGTAGTTTTGATTGGTACAGTCACAAGAAGAATAAGTGGCATTGAAGTGAACCTATCAAGTTGAGTGGTATCATCTAAAGAGTGTGTATCTGCCTCTAGTATCAACAACAACAATAACAACAGCAAAGCCTTTAAGTCCCAAACAAGTTGGGGTAAGCTAGAGTTGAAACCCAGCAAAAGCAATCAAGGTTCAGACACGTGAATAGCTGTCTTCCAAGTACTCCTATCTAAGGCTAAGTCTTTGGGTATATTCCATCCTTTCAAGTCTCCTTTTATTGCATCTAACTAAGTCAACTTCGGTCTTTCTCTATCTCTCTTCACGTTAATATCCTGGCTTAGGATTCCACTACGCACCGGTGTCTCTGAAGGTCTCCATTGGACATGTCCAAACCATCTCAACCGGTGTTGGACAAGCTTTTCTTCAATTGGTGCTACCCCTAATCTATCACGTATATCATCGTTCCGAATTCGACCCCTTCTTGTATGACCGCAAATCCAACGCAACATACGCATTTCCGCGACACTTATCTGTTGAACATGTCGTCTTTTCGTAGGCCAACATTCTGCACCATACAACATAGCAGGTCTAATCGTCGTCCTATAAAACTTGTCTTTTAGCTTCTGTGGTACCCTTTTGTCACATAGGACACCAGATGCTTGCCGCCACTTCATCCACCCTACTTTGATTCTATGGCTAACATTCCTTATCAATATCCCCGTCTCTCTGTAGCATTGATCCTAAATATCGAAAGGTATCCTTCTTGGGCACTACTTGACCTCCCAAACTAATATCTTCCTCCTCCCGAGTAGTAGTGCCGAAGTCACATCTCATATACTCAGAGTCTCCCGCTATAACTCCAGTTTCTGATTCACTCATGTCCGGCTTTCATCAACTAGCACTACATCGTCCGCGAAAAGCATACACCAAGGGATGTCCCCTTGTATGTCCCTTGTGACCTCATCCATCACTAAGGCAAACAAATAAGGGCTCAAAGTTGACCCTTGATGTAGTCCTATCCTAATCGGAAAGTCATCCGTGTCTCCATCACTTGTTCGAACTCTAATCACAACATTGTTGTACATGTCCTTAATGAGCCCGACGTACTTCATTGGGACTTTATGTTTGTCCAAAGCCCACCACATAACATTCCTTGGTATTTTATCATAAGCCTTCTTCAAGTCAATAAAAACTATGTGTAGGTCCTTCTTCTTCTCCCTATATCGCTCCATAACTTGTCTTATTAATAAAATGGCTTCCATGGTTGATCTTCCGGGCATGAAACCAAATTGGTTCATAGAGATCCGCGTTATTGCTCTCAAGCGATGCTCGATAACTCTCTCCCATAGCTTCATAGTATGGTTCATCAACTTAATTCCCCGGTAATTAGTACAACTTTGAATATCCCCTTTATTCTTGTAGATCGGTACCAATATATTTCTCCTCCACTCATCAGGCATCTTGTTCGATCGAAAAATATGGTTGAACAGCTTGGTTAGCCATATTATAGCTATGTCCCTGAGGCATCTCCACACCTCGATTGGGATACCATCCGGTCCCATCGCCTTATCTCATTTCATCCTTTTCAACGCCTCTCTGACCTCAGATTTTTGGATTCTCCGCACAAAGCGCCTATTGGTGTCATCAAAAGAGTCATCCAACAAAAAGGTTGTGTTCATATCCTCACCATTGAACAATTTGTCAAAATACTCTTTGCCATCGATGTCGGATCTCATCCTCCTTCACCAAGAGATGCTCCCTTTCATCCTTAATGCACTTGTATCTGCCTCTAGTATAGAACCATTTTTTCCCAAAATGTTTTCTACTTAGTATTAATAATGTAGCTTCTGGTACTGAGGTGAATTTTGACACCAGCATTGTTTACATATTATCATTGTTGTTGTTGTTGTTGTGCTACTGAACTTTTTCTCCTTTCTTTGCAGTCTGGGTTTCTTTGTATTCTGATTGATGATCTGATTAAATCAGAGATATATTCAGATTACGTGCAGGTTTGTATAACTTGTGCTGCAATGTCACAGTTTTTGTACTGCAATTATTATTGTAAGACATTAGACAGCCTTTTCTGTGCAGTAAGTAAATTAATTGAGGGTTGTGAAATTACAGGCACATCTTGCCCCTAGTGGTTACCTAAAGATACCCACTGTGAGTGTTCTTCCTTTTTCCCCCTTCCATTCCTTGGCATGGTATAGAGTGTGCTCTAGGGTTTGGGTCTAATATATTTGTGAAATCAGTTGGAATGGCTTAGGCTCCTTGTCACCATGTACTGTCATTATATAGTTTAGTCTGATACCTAGTCTTAGGAGGTTACATCATGAACTCGTGCAAGTGTTTTGTGTGTCTATGGGTGTCGGTGCGAAAAGTGACCAACAAGTAAATATTTATAGTTTTGCCGTGCGTTGTGATCGGATGTGGCCTAGCACTCAATGACACAGGGTTTATACTGGTTCAGGTAACGTGCCCTACGTCCAGTTTCAATCGGTCGGTGGCTTTATTCCTGAGCCTAAGTGCTCGAAGTTTGCTGTGGGGTTACAAAAGAGTGGGAATGAGAAAGGGGTGTTAAACGTCCGGTCGGACTCTAGACCGAATGGCCAAGACTGATGGGAGCTTCTTATGTGCGCTAAGTATTGGAACGTATGCTCTGTGTAACTTTAGAGTTCTAGAGCTGTGGGGTTGTTCAATTGCTCAGAATGTCTAAAGCTTAGCAGAGAGAGAGTCGGAATAATCTTTCTTTTTCGTTGGGAGAGAGCGCATCCCCTTTTATAGGTGAAGGGAATGGCCTTACAAGTGAGAGAGAGAGTGTGTGCTCGTGTTTTACTAAGTCTTGTTGCCCACGCTGTCAGGTATAAGACGGTCGTCGGCGCCCACAACACGTTTATGTCAGACGCGCGTGGCAGGCTTTACCGTGTTCGCCTGGTATGGCAAATGACGGCGCCCACAACACTGTAAGACAAACGCCGGCGCCCACAACACTGTTTGGGTTCTGACATGTCTGGAAGGTTGCAAAGCACCCTTCTGGCATGGCCTGGCGGTACTGTCCTATAGGTGTGCAGGGTACGGTCCTCGGTATTGTGGTTGACTTGAGCGTCTTGCCTTATCCGCTCCGCCTAATTCTTGGGTCCTCACCGAGCGGGCGTCCCCGATTGGTTGTTTCCATTCGGCTCCGACCGCGCTGGTCGGAGAAGAGCTGTAAGTAGAGGTTCGGTGTATTCCCGGTCGGAAAAGCAGGTCGGAGTCGGGAGCGAGTGTTGTCCCCTCCTTGGGCAGGCCTTCTGGTCGGAGACTGGATCGCTCTTCCGGCCTGTCGTTAGGTATCTGGGCCGGCCCAGGAGTCGCGCGTTTGTTGTAATGCCGTCTGCTGGGCCGAGTTTTTGCTGGGAAGTGAGCCCATTGGGGAACCTGGGTTTATGAACCCGACAGGAGCCCCGAGCCCTTTTGGGACTTCTGTTAAGTCGTGAAGGGGTTGTTTATACTCATTGTGCGAGAGCAACGGATGGGTGTAAGATCATGAGTCGCCGTCAGGCGCGACGGAGCGCGGACCCATGCGTCGGGCGAGGTCGAGGGGTCGGGCGCGACGGAGCGCGGACCCAGGCGTCGGACCGACGAACCAGCATGCTGATCAGCGGTCGTACAGGGTGTAGGCAGCATAGTGACTATGGGTCCGTTACTGTGGGTCGATGTGAGTCCCCTGGAACGTCATGTCACGGAGATGGGTCATGCTGAGACGCGACCGCTCCCTGCACGATACCAGAAGTTTGACCTGGGGTTGTACTTTCTGGCCCGTAGTGGTTGGCGGTGGCGCGAGCTTCTGTTAGGGACCGTGTCCGAGGGATCGGGTGAAGCGAGGCCAGTCCTCAGACGTCGGTCGAGGCGGAGCAACCTTCGGGAGTCGGACGAGGCGGAAGCCCAGCAAGGGGTGTGGCCTTGGTGGTCCTAGAAATCGCGTGGGGGATTTTTTGACTTACCAGCGGGTGCGCGCGAGCGCACCCGGTGGGTGTTGCCCCCGAGCCCTCGGGCAATTCGAGTAGAATTGCCTGGGGGATTTTTCGACTTGCCAACGTTCTGAGCCATCGTTTCCGGGAGTGCGGACCCCAGGCGTCGGGCGCCAACCCAAACATCGGGCGCGACGGAGCGCGGACCCAAGTGCCGGGCGTGCTCGAGGGGTTGGTCTAGTTTCGTGCGTTACCCCATCCGCGGTTTCCTCAATCGGAGGGGCTGAGCTAACGTCGCTTGCCTCGATGGCTCGAGCGACGCTCTCGGTGAGCTCTCTAACGGGTATGTCTGAGTGAAATCCGGGTCCGTCTTTCGTAACGGGGTCGGCATAGCCCTCATGTAGCATTCCACCGCTCCTTAACCCGCCTCCCGGTAGATGCCTGAGCCGTTCCGGAGACCGACTCAGGTGGCCCGCTGGCCTCCCATCGATGGAGATTCTGTGGGCATGGCTCGAGGTTAGGATCGAACGAGAAGGTTGAGATGACCTTGTCTGCTTCTGAGCAGATCGGGCGAGGGTTGCTGGGGCTCATCTGCGTTTTCTCCTCTGTCTCTATTTGACGCGAGGCGGCCTCGAGCCCTTCGCGGGCCAGCCTTCGAACCCTGGTCGGTCGTCGCTCATGTCGAATGAGGCGACTACTGCTTTGTGACGCAACACGAAGCGTTGCGATGCATCAATTGCATATGCAATGCTTTGGATATATGGGATGAATGTGTGAATGTGTGTATCGGAAGGATAAATGAATGATTATGCATTAGAAAAAATAAAGTAGGATGGTTTGGTAAAGATACCTAGATGACTCGAGTGGCGAGTTTGAGGAGCTCTTATCGAATATGTCCGAATGGGATCCGTATCCATCATTCGTGACGGAGTCGGTGTAGCCCGCATGGGGCATCCCACTGCTCTTTACCTGTCTCTCGGCAGTCGCCTGAGCCATCCGATCGACTCAGGTAGCCCGTTGGTCTTTCCTCGACGGAGATCCTATTGGTGGGCCCTTCCAAGCCCTGCCTGGGAAGGCGCAGGGTCGTTTGCATGCGGTTGCCCCTTGTTTTCTACGCCTGGGTTGTGGTAGTGGTGGGCCCTACCTAGGCCACGTCCAATTTTAACCGGGCGATGTTTTGTTGGGCAGGGCGCGTCCCATCAATTAGGATGCGTCCCACCGCATGCCTATTCGCATTAAGTAGGGGAAGGGAGAGGGTTTTCATCCCATTTCTTCGCCTTTCTCCAACTGTTGCCTCTCCTCCTTCCTTTTCGCCAAGCCTGTTCGTGCGCTGCGACGGTTTCTAGGGGAGTGAGAGGGTAAAGCGAGGGAGAGAACTCATAGATTCGTTCGTGAATCTAGGGCGTGATGTCGAACTGGAGGCCATCCAACGTAGACGAGGAGGTGCTGGCCACCTTCGCCGAGAAGGGGCTGCTCCCGCCAAAGGAGGTGGCGCATTGGAGGGCTCCTGTGCCAGGGGAAGCTGTTCCGCGACCACGAGCCGACGAGGTTGTCTCCTTCCTCGCCTTCCACGGGCGCGGGCTTGGATATCCCGCGCACTGGTTCTTGCGCGGGCTCCTCAACGAGTGGGGTCTGGAGCTGCAACACCTCAATCCGACTAGGGTGCTGCACGTTGCCGGTTTCATCACCGTTTGCGAGGCCTTCCTCGCGATGGAGCCGCACGTGGATCCCTTCCGACGGATCTTCACCGGGCGAGCCTTGTCTGAGGGAAAGCCACCCAGAACCGCGCCGGTTGGGGGCTTCGCCTTGCAGAAAAAGCCAAGGCCGTTAGGCTCCTACCCCACGTACTCCCCCTACGACTCCAATCGGGGGTGGCATGGCGAGTGGTTCTACATCAGGAACCCAGCGGTGGTGCCATTCCCTCCGTTCACCGGAAGAAGGCCAGAGAGGCGGGAAAGCTGGTCGTGGGGTCCCTCTAGTTGGCAGAATAAGCTGGAGGTCATTGAGGCGGAGCTTCAGAAGCTGGTGCAACACGGCCTTGATGGGCTGCGGGTCTTCCACACCTTCTGTCGTCGAGTCACCCCGCTGGCCGATGTGGGCCTACTCCAGCCCAACGGATCCCGACCGCGTGTCACCGGAGGAGTTGCCGAAGGATGAAGTCTGGAGTCGACTCGACCAGGTGCTGCAACTGAGGGACAAAGATTCCCTTGAAGGAAAGCCTGGACCTCTTCATGCCACAAAGCTATCCAATCTGTTATGCTCCCCTCTCCTTATTATGTGATCTTTTTCCTCTTGCTCTCCTTTATTTTGATTTCGAGTTGTCCGTTTCGTAGGGACTCACGGGTTACAAGTCCTGGACGCATCTTCCGAGGGGGCCGGAGGACGCAGCTCGGCAAGCTGCCTTGAAGGAGGCAGCGCTTGCCAAAAAGAAGAGAGCTGAGAAGGCCCGGAGGAGGTTTGAGAAGGAGAAGGAGATCGGCCGGCGGGTCCGGGCGGGTGAAAGTAGGAGCGACGTGGAGGCGGATCTCAAGTCGGAGGAGCCCACGGAGATGGGTGGCGACACGAGTACCTCCGAGGATGAAGGAGACAGGGGCGTCGTCGCGACCTCGGTGGAGCGTCGTGAGCCTGCGGCCGCGTCCGTCGGCGGTGGGCGGGATACGGAGAAGCACGGCGACGTTCCCGAGTCAAGGAAGCGTGCCGTGAGCGACGCCCCCCGTCGAACGAGAGGCGAAGCGGGCGCGGTCGCCGCGCCCTTCGGAGGCATCGTTGGCTCTGCACCCCCCCTGCTCCGAGTGTGGCGGGGCACGCCGGCCGGTTGGAGGAGCGTGCTCGTACCCCCACATCTTCGGGGTCAGCGCGTGTGCGCGACCCACAATGGGGAGATGCCCTGTCAGTTGCTCCGGTGGGTGCGCCACGAGCTGGCGTTCGTGGCTATTCGTGGGCCGATCGAGAACCGGCCGGGTCGGCTCCTCCCTCGGTCGATACGAGGGGGCGCGGGTCGCGACCCGTGAGCGGTCCTCGTCTGGTGGGCTCATCGCCAGCGGGTCGGGGCTTCAGGGCTCTACCGCTTTCGTCTAGGTACGTGTTTATGTTCCTTTTCGATCTCACAGCTGAGTTTTTTTAGCGCGACTAACCTATACTTAT